ACACACTCCCTGCCCTCGAACACACACACACACACACACACACACACAAGTGCCTCTCCTCTCAAACCAAACAAGTCTAAACAAATGATCAGAAAAAAACAGCAACGTTATCTTTAATCAGACCCGTAATGCATCTTTTCTCCTCATACACAGATCATGCCAGTGGGGGTCTGATGAGGGGAACCACGTTGCATATTGAAATAGATTTATTCAAACCGATAGCATCTCATCCCATCAGCTCCACAGCAAATGTGTCAAACTGTGCACAAGTGTTTTCAAAGCCTCTGAGGATGTGTATTGAACAAAAGGAGACAAAAGTGTCCAAATGAGATCTGGATCGTTCCTGGAGCAAAGGGATCAATAACTGCCAGACTAAGCCCTCGCTCATCCGTCTGATTCATATCTTTCACTCCACCCTCCCCACCTCCACCCATCCTCCCCTGCTTTTTGCAGAAATAAGAGAAAGATTCTGACTAAAGTCCTAGACTTTGCAGTTTGTACTATCATTTTAAGTACAGGCATGAAGCAATTGATCTGTAGTAGAAAACTATACTGACAGAATTAAAGGTGGTGGTTATAGTGTACTGCAATCTTGTCTGTTGATGACCCACAGGTAGGAGAACAGAGATTTAATAGAAGCAGCTTGTCTTAAAATTTGTAAAATCATAACAATGAGGCTAGAATAGCTCCTTAAAAAGAAAAAAAAAACACATATGCATTTGCTTATACTTCACAATGCTAAATGTAAAATGATCACTTCTGCTGCATCACATTTTGAGCTCATCTTGATGTAAATGGAAGTGAAAAACACTTAAAACAAACAAAAAAAAATCAATATATGTTCATCAGTTACTGATTAATTGGCTGATCAATTTAATCGGGCATTGGCGACTTTAAAAAAGTCAGCAATCAGCCATGCCTGGTAATCAATCACTAAACAGGAAAATGAAGATGAAGCAGCAGATGCTACATTTACTGCAGTCTTTTGTTTAGTTTTTCAAGTAAGACTGCTTAAAAAAAATTAAATGTACAAGTTATTGTAAGTCTTGTTAAATATGTAATATTGAATCATTTTCCTTAATAAATAAAATACCAAGTAAAATATTTTTGTCTGGTTTGTTTAACTGGGTTCTCTGTCTACTTTTAGGATGTGTGAAAATCTGATGATGTTTTAGGTCACATTTATTCAAGGATTCAAGTTTTTTTTTATTGTCATTAACATCACATGTTGTATATGAGGTGGAACGAAATTATGTACACAGTGTCCCAGTTACATCCAACAAAAATACAAATTGTAAAGAAAAACAGTAATAAGATCCGAGACATGAACTAAGAATACACTACATTCACTAATACACTACATTCACTCCTACGTTCACTTAACTAAGAATACACTAAACTAGAAATACACTAAGCACTAATAGTACAAAAACAATGCACCAAACAAAAGCAGCACAAATGCTGATTTATGCAGAAATATATGAAATTCCAAAAGTTCACAAACTTTCAAGCACCACTGTATATGTTTATTTAAGTCATGCAATTAATGTTACATCTTCCAAAACACACACACACACACAAACAAACAATCTGTGGAGATCAACAAAAATCAGCTGATTTTAAAGGTCCTTAGAAAATCTCATATTGGTTTATCTCTATTAAGTTGTTGGGTAATTGGGGACAATTAAAAGCCTTCCTTGCTTTTTGTTGCATGAGCCAATATCACAAAACTATATAGATAATTGAAAAACTTTAAATTATTTAGTTTTAGAAATTACATTGTGTAAAAATTGTAATGTCTACAGAGTATTATAGTGTGATTTACTTCTTTGTTGTTGGTCGAAGTTCACTAGTCTGTGGAAAATCTGTCTGAAAATAGCGGAACAATTTCAGAATAATGTTTCTTAATGGCAACTTGGAAAGACTAAATATCCTATCATCCTCAGTTTTTAATATCATCAAAGGATTTTAGGAATCTGAATAAATCTCCGAGCTCAAAGGACAAGGATGAAATTCAATATTGGATGTCTGTGATCTTTGGGCCCTCAGGCAGCACTACATTAAAAACAGGTCTGATTCTGTTCTGGACAACATCACTATGGGCTCAGGATCACTTCCACAGATCATTGTCTGTAAACACAGTTGGCTTACCATTCACAAATGCAGATAAAGGCTCTATCATGCAAAGAAGATGCTGTATGTGAACACCATACAGAAATGCATCCATCTTCTCTGGGCCAAAGCTAGTTTAAAATGAACTGAGACAAAGTGAAAAACTGTTCTGGGGTCAGACAAATCTCAAACTGAAAGTATTTTTGGCAACTACTAACCCCATGTCTTCTGTACTAACGAGGAGAGGAACCATCTGGCCTTCACACTGCTCACAAACCTACCTCTCTGATGTTATAGAGGTGCATTAGTGTCCATGGCATAGGCATCTTACACATCTGAGAAAACATAATCAATGACAGCATGGTGGATTAATGGTAAGCACTGTAGCCTCACAGAAAAAAGGTAATAGGTTCAAGAAGCAGTTTGGACCTGGGGTCTTTTTGTGTGGAGTTTACATGTTCTCGTGATGTTTGTGTGGGTTTTCTCTGGGTACTCTTATTTCCTATCTCAGTCCAAAAACATGCATGTTTAGGCTGCTTTCAGGCCCAGGCCTTTCTTGCAAATGAGATCTTTGATCTCAATTTGCCTGGTTAAATAAAGGTTACTGAAGGAAACATACTTTAGAACAACGGGCTCCCATCCAGGCAATGCTTTTTTCAGGAAAGGCCTTACATATTTCAGCAAGACAATGCTAAACTGGTCTCTTTGGTTCCTGGACATTTAAAGAATGTTTTTAAAATAAGATGAGCTAATTCTCAGGGGTAGATATGTCCCGTCCAACATTCTTTTAAGTGTGTTGCTGCCATCAAATTCAAAGTAACTATCACCCACCAAATTGTACAATTTCAAACGTTTGATATGTTTACAAAGTTCCACTGTGAATGAAACGTGGATTTATTAGATTTGGAAAACCATTGTATTGTTTTTTTAATTTTCATTTTACGCATCCTGTGTTTTTTTTGCTTCCAGAATTGGTTTATTAGATTATGTAAAAACACAAAAAGAGCTAAGGAAATCATGCTGACCTCTATGTTGTCACACCCCCTCTGTCATGAGAACAGTTACATTATGTAACTAGTGACACCATGTTGTGATGTAAAAATAAATAAAGTCAATTTAAAAAGAAAATCTTCCCTCAAACAGATCAATAGACCAACTTAAAGGTTTCCCAGTGCAGCCTCTCATCTAAAGACACCCCACAGGATTGTAACCAGACTTTGGTCAAGTGATAAACAACTTGGTCAAACAGATCAAGAAAAAGAAAACACATACACACCATACACACCACACACATGTTTGTCGTAATTCTTTACGGGACATTGCATTGACTTCCATTCATTTTTCATTAATTTCTACAGCCTAACCCTGACCCTTACCGTAAACCTAACCTATCCTCATTTTATACCTTAGTCCCAAACCTAACCA